AGCAGTGAGGTCTCGCCAAGTTGCCCAGATGGGTCTCGAACCCGCGGGCTCAGGTAATCCACTCACCTCAGCCTCCCAAAGGCGTGGGATTATAGGCTGAGCCACCGAGCCTGGCTTAAAATTTTTTACTAGTAATTTAAATTTATTATTTTTATCAAGTAAATAGTAGATTAGAAACAAAAAAGAAAGAAAAAAATCTGGTCCTTACCTATGCATAGTTTGAGAAGCATGGATCTAGCCAATATTTAAACTTTGCTTACTCCATGAAAACGCTCACATTCATGGGAAAAATTTTAGGAAAGTACAAATAAGCAAACAAGAAAAGAATCCCCTGAGAAAAGCAGAGTTAACAACTTGGTACATGAACTTTTTGTCAACTACAACACATAAGAAGAGAATAAAATAGTGCCATGCGCGTCAGACAGACAGACGGACAAACTCTATGCTGCCTACCAGCCCAAGGAGCTTCTCGCAGTCCCACAAGCTCGTACTACCCCTCCCTGCTTTGCTTACCTTGTTTTCCTTACTCATAAGGCTCTTGCTGTCTGCACAACGTCCCTACACACAGATCCACGGGGCTTCCCCACAACCACCGAGCCTTTCTTCCTGCCCAGATCGCATTCTCTCTTACATAGCAGTTCTTTGAAACTTATCTCATGCCAATAGACAGAGCTTCTACAGGGCAGGGTCCAGAGCCAATTCATGTTTGCTTCCCCCACAGCACTCTGCCATTCATTGACCCTTGCACTAGGTAAATATTTAAGTATATGAAGTAGGAGACAGTATGTCTTAAGTGCCAAATAAATGGATACAACAAAGAAGAAAACAGGACATAAATATTTGTTTCTTGAGCACCTACTGTGTGCCAGGCCACGCTGGGCACTTTCACAGGTGATTTTTCATTCAGCTGGCATTGTAGCCCCGGAATGCAGGGCTGATTGACTATATTTCAGAAGTGAACCACAGTTCCAGTGTGAGTTAGGCTGAAAGAGGCTTGGTTTTATTCTCATTGTGTGCGCCATCACCCTCAGCTCATTTTTTAATTTTTATTTTTTGTAGAGACAAGGTCTCGCTATGTTGCCCAGGCTGGTCTTAAACTCCTGGCCTCAAGAAATCCTCCCCACCTCAGACTCCTAAAGTACTGGTATTATAGGCATGAGCTACCACATCTGGCCAGAAGAGGCCTGTATAAAGAAGACAGGGGCTTGAACTTGGTTTTGCAGGATGAGGGGGTTCAGCCTGGCAGAGGGAAGGGGGACAACAATCTCTCAGAAAGGGAAGAAAGGGGCAAAGACAGGGAAGGAAGATGGCTGTGGACTGCTCTGAGGACCTAAGGAAGGAGGCAATCAAGGCACATGTGTATGGAGGAGAGGGCACGGAGGAAGATTTCTGAGCAGGTAGCAGAGGAATAGTCTGGTCCAAGCCTGGCTTTCAGATAGTCCATTCTGCAGGCTGAGCAGAGCAGACGGGAAGCAGAGGAGCGCAGAGAATGTGAGATACAGGGGGGCGGAGAAGGAAAGTCCATCTTAAGGCAGCCAAGAGGAAGTCTCTTAGGGCGGATGCTCTAAGCCTGCCTGACCCAGAGGGCAGCCGAGACAGGGGCAGGGCAGGAAGAGGGCGGTGGGGAGCCTGGCTTGGAGAGGAGGTGGAGAGTTCCATTCTAGACACTTCCTTCTGGAGGTGCCTGGGGGAATACCCCATAGCCAAGTGAAAGAAAAGAGCCACAAAAAGTAGGGGTTGGCAGACCTGAGTCCAACTGCTTCTTGTACAAATGGGATCTCAGAGAGGTCAGGGACTTACCCAAGGCCACACAGCAAGTAAGAGGCAAAACAACAAGACTAGAACCCTGGTGTGCCAACTCCCAGGAGAGTGCAGAGAACTTTGCTGATCCTATGCTGACACTGCCTTTCTCTCCAGTCTCTTAGGCCCCTTTAGCTCCTCCCAGACCAGCTCAGGCGTTCATTTTATCCAGTCTTCCTCCTTGGTAGGGCTGGGGTTATCAGGAGCCACACAGGACCCACCCTACCACCACACCCCTGGGTGGGCCAGCCTCATCACCTAACACAGGCAGGTCAGGCCTTCCCACAGATGTCTCAATCTCTAAATGAGCCATCATTCGGTAGATATGAGGTCCTGACTACCCATTTTGTACAAGATTTTTCTCTCACGTATGCCAGGAGTTCATCCAACTCAGAAGGGTTAAGTCACTTACCCAAGACCACACAGCTAGTGACAGATTCCGAATCTGAATTTGTTCTAGACTCCCCATGCAGGGTTTTATATACCATACCCCATAATACTGATAAATACTTGATTCAGTAAGCCTCTCTCTGTGCATACTGTATCTGCTTTGGGTGCTGGAGAGAAGGAAGAAGCAACAGATAACAGAAAAACATACTGAGTATATTTGTTACAGGCTGAGCACTGAACTAGGTACTTTGTAGTATCTTATTCATTGTAAGAATTGTCCTGACTTCTAGTGATAAGGAAACAGAAGCTCCAGGCTCCTTTTGAAGTGACTTGCTCAATGTCATTTTGGAATCAAGTCAGATTTTTTTTTTTAAGTTGGAGTCTCTCTGTCGCCCAGGCTGGAGTGCCGTGGCACACTCATGGCTATCCCAGCGTCAACCTGCTGGGCTCCAGCGATCCTTCTGCCTCAGCCTTCCAAGTAGCTGGAACTGCAGGCACGTGCTACCATGCTCGGCTAATTTTTGATTTATTGTAGAGACGAGGGCTTGCCAAGTTGCCCAGGCTGGTCTCAAACCCATGGGTTCAGGCAATCCACTTGCCTCAGCCTCCCAAAGTGCAGGGATTACAGGCTGAGCCACCGAGCCCGGCTTCAAGTCAAATTTTGAAGTCAGGTCTACATGTCTCTGATTCACTTCCTATAGAACCTTTTTAACAGGCCTCTGGCTTCTGGAATCCAAAACTGCATTCCACTGGCCTCAACTCCCCATCGCCTCTAGGAGGCTGGGGAACCAACTTCCTCCTGCTCATCAGGGCTGCCTAGGAGCTTGGCTGTAAGAGCCTGGAAGAAGCAGACAGGGTAATACAGGCAGAAGGGGAAGGCCTCACTAGAGTAGTCACACTTTGATCTGTTTTTGAATTTTCAGGTGCAGAGGAAGATTTGATTTGAGGAACGGATTTTAGTTCTGAAAAAATAATTATAATGCTGAAAATCACAAATCTTGTCTAATTCTTTACATTTTAATGTGGAAAATAGAATGTAGAGAGGCAACAGAACTTATCTGAGATCACACAGTGAGTGAGGCACAGAGATAGACCCTGACCCTGCAGCTCCTAGCTTCTAGTCCAGTGTCCTACTACCCACCCGAGAGTCATTCCATAACAATGGATGGTTAATAAGTATCTGTGAAGTGGCAAAATGCCCCCTAGAAGGTCTCTCTTTGGTTGGGTTGTGCTTTGTGAAAAGTCCTTCACAGTATGAAAGACTTTTACATATTGGTACGGCACTTCTCCCGGCACTTCTCCCAAATCGAGGGAACTTGCAAACCACAGCTTAAATCCTGTGACACCACCACATGAAGACAGGAGCAAGCCACCAGGAGGTCTGGCATCTCTGTTCATCCATGTTAGAACAGGTTAGCTTTAGTGGAAAGCTGTACAGGGTGGTGCAGAAAAAACCATGTTTCAAAGTTAAACTGTGCCAGATCCGGGCTGTGTTCTGCTGTGTAACTTTGGGCAAAGTCACAGGCTTTTCAAGGTCTTCATTTCACAATCTATGAAAACAGGCATGATATTATCAAACCTGCAAGGCTGCGGAGAAGACTAGAGACAGTGATGAAGTACGTGCCTGGCACCCAGCAGCTGCGTAGCTAATTTTATTATTATTAGGAGTAGGGCTGCGCTGGGATGAGATCAGCAGGCACAGTGCTGTGCCTTTTGCACCAGAGAAGGAAGACATTTGCTCCAACTCTTGTGGGTCACAAGGTCTTCCACAGTTTCTGAGGAGAGCTCCCTGCCTTCCAGCAGCTTACATGGTAGAGGAGAAATAAAATGATCACCACAGATGTCAGAGCAAAGAGGGGGGTAGACCAGGTGCTGTGGGATGGACCTGTGTCTCTGGGAGTCAAGGATGGTTTCATGGAAAGGGGGACATTGAAGGATAAAAGTAGCTTTCGAATTGACTGTGGAAGAGAACACTACAACCTGGGAGTAACCTAAATTGGGTTCTGAGAGCTGCCCCCAGGAAGGACTGAGAAAAAGCTGCAGGGCACAAGCCTCCCAGGTCCTGCTACACTGAGGATTCCAGAGGCTGTGGTCTTGGCACAGAGGGCTGGAGCTGTTGCCAGCTCTGGCAGGCTCTGCCACTCACTGGGGAGGAGGCAGTGAGGAGGGCCAGCTAGGTAGAAGGTGGCCAGGGCTAAGAAATCCAAAGCCCCAGATGGGCCCAGGACAGCAGCTGTCAAGCAGTTCTGAAAAGGGACTGAGTGTTTCAGTCAACCTAAATATTCTGGGCCTGCAGTAGTGCTAGCTACAGGGATTAAAGAAAAGAATGAGACCCCAGCCTTGTCGTAGGGCCTTGAAGAGCCTTAGTCTCCTCTGGGTTAGCCATTTGGAGGTAGGAGAAACTGCCATTTTCAGAATCCTAGAATATCTTGGCTAAGAGGCTTCTTAAAGCTTGTTGACAGCAGCACTAAAAAGATGGTGAAACTAGGCTCAGAAGAGCAGACACTGGCCCCAGCTTGTGCAGTGAGTCAGTTGCAGATATGGGACTACAATCCAGGCACCAGCATCCCAGTCCTCAGTGTCCATCATGACCCCTAGATACTTTAAAGACAGATCACAAATCTACTTATGAGCAGAGCTGGGCTTGCGGAGAGCTGGGTGAAGGAGGTGGGGAAGGGAAGAGGCAGAACTGTGACTCTGGACCTGCCTGCTGTTGGCAGCAGGATGGTTAAGTGTGTGGGTTTTTGTGCCCACTTGATAGACGTGGGTACAAATCCCAGTTCTGTCATTTCCAGCTGTGACCTCAGTTTCTTCATCTGGTAAATGGGAACTTGGTTCGACCTCAATGGGTTGTTGTAAGAAATGAATGAGCCAGTACATGCAATGCCTAGCACAAAGCGGCTGTTATTGTTTTCACCTCCCTCCTCCAGGCACCTCGGGCTCTGCGTTGATGGAGATGCCCCAGCGGTCTCCAAGGGGGTGAACCAGAGAAGAGGCGCGGAGCCCAGACCTGGGTCCCCTACTCCGGTTGGAGCAAAACCATCTAGCCCAAACAGGAGCTCCACGGGACTCCGACCCCGGTTGCACCGCCAGGGCTTAAGGCGCACAGCACAATCTAGGGATGCGGGACTCTTGGTGTTAACAGCCCTCGCCTCGCCCTAGAGCCGCCCTCCAAGCCCGCCATCTCCCCGAGTCTGGGCCCCGCTCACCTGCCTCCCAGTAGGATCCAAGCCACTGCTCCCGCCACCGCTGTCTCCCGCTCTAGTCTCCTGGGGCTCACGTGGGGCGGGGCGGATCACCCGGAAACAGCTCCCCCGCCCCGCCTCTCCAGCGTGCAGGCCACGCCCTCTGCGGGCGCTGGGGGGAGGGCAGGTCGGCTCCGGCTGCGGCCCCTCCCAGACACGTGGGACTCGAGGCCTGGCCAATCGGATGTGCCGAAAGGCAGGCGGAGCCGCCCTTCACTGGGTCCCGGCAGACGCTTGAGTGGGGAAAGGCCGGTGGGAGCCCACGTGGGAGAACGAGTACCACGCGGGAGGGGACTCAGCTTAGGAGTCTGCCTCCAGGGCGGTGGCAGCCCTGGGTTCACTTCAGTGGCCCTCTCTTCCCAGCCTGGGGCAAACTTGGCGCTGGTTAATTGTTTGGTGAAAGAATAATCGAATGTCAAGGACATTAGAACAGCACCATAATGCCTAACATAATAATGGTTAAGTTCATTTTTGCAGACTGAGCATTTTGAAGTTGTTGAGTTCAGCACCAGACTCAAGTTTTCAGAGAAAATTTGTTCCAGCCTAATTAATTACCCAGAGCCTACTCTGTGCCATGAGTTGGGAGATGTGCTGTGAAAGACATGGGCATTTAGAAAAACTCCAAGTCTGATAGGGGCATCAGACCTGTTTATAATAAGTACAATAAGAGATCTGACCAAAAGGTCTGGGGGAGGGGAGGAGGGCTGGGCACTGGGACAGAGTATGGGAGGGACAGGAGGGATCTGGTGAGGCTTATGGGGCCTGGGTGAACTGGTAGGATTGGATGGGTGAAGTAGAGGTCAGGGATCATCACTACAGCAAAGGAATTTTATGGTCTGATCCAATAAATTGGCTGCTATCCCTTGTGGCCAATCAAGATGAAAGGCAGAAATTGGGAGAAATGATTAAGATGATACCATGGAATCAGGGAGCCAGACGGTGTATTCACCCAAAAAACTTGCTCTCCAACAGTACAACTTATTCAGAATTTATACTCCATAGCCCCTTATCCACCCACAAGGCTAAATTAACAAAGACATGACTCAAGATCTCCTAATCCCTTCACCAACCCCCAAGATTTTTTTGTTTTTGTTTTTAATTTTTACTTTAAAGATGTGAGGTACAATTCAGGGTTATGTATACAAATGGTCATCATACAGGTAAAGTTTGGGCCTCACTTTGGTCCCCACTACACCTGGTTTGAGATCAAAAGTACCCTTATTGATGAAGTGTGCCCCGACTCCCCCATCCCCAAGATTGAATTAACAAGGTCTGTGGACAGTTTTGGGCATGACATAATAACATTGAGTTCCTTAATGGGATAGGAACTTACAACAATCAAAGAAGCTACCTTCTTTGAAAAAACTTTGACTCAAACATGAGAGATATAAGAAACCCCTGTTGCCAGAACCTTGGCCTGTAACAGGAGCACTTCTGAAAAGGTTCTCCAGGGATTATTGGAAAGTTGACTTTGAAATGTAGAGGATACCAGTGGGTTCCAATAGTCAGGTTTCATTTATCAAAATCCATACACACAACCTGTTGTATGTTTCTTTATATTTTAAGTTTAAGGGGCAATAAAAAAAAAAGTAAGACACTGCTTAGTTTCCAGCTGCTACAGATCTGATCTGTGTTCAATAAGGAAGGGAATAGAAAGGAAGAAATGTTTGTTGTGCATTAAAGAGTCAGTGCTCCCTTATCTAATCTTTTTAAAAATTATTTTTTTAAATTGTATTTATTTCAATAGCTTTAGGGGATACATACAGTTTTTGGTTACATGGATGTATTGTATAGCAGTGAAGAAGTCTGGGCTTTAAGTGGACCCACCACCCTCACCTGTGCACATTGTACCTGATAGGTAATTCTTCATCCTTCCACCCCTTCCTGTTCTCCCCCTTCTGAGTCTCCAGTGTCCATATATGCCATTCTCTATGCCTTTGTATATCCTTAGTTTAGCTCCCACTTATTTTATTTTTTTATGAGTTAAGAAAGGCAGATTTATTAAAGATGAAGCCATAGGCAACACAGCAGCAAAGGGAGGCTGTCTGCTGTCTATGAGCTCCCAGTTATAAGTGAAAACACTTATAAGTGTTTGGTTTTTCTGTTTCTCTGTTAGTTCACTTAGAATTGTTACAGCCTGATCCAATCAACTGGCTGCTATCCTCTCGGCCAATTAAAATATGAGAGGCAGAAACTGGGGGAAAAGGGAGTCTTTCATTTCTTTTACTTTTTATTTATTTATTTATTTATTTATTTTTGAGTTGGAGTCTCGCTCTTGTCGCCCAAGGTGAAGTACAGTGGCATGCTCACAGCCACCGCAATCTCGACCTGCTGGGCTTAGGTGATCCTTCTACCTCAGCCTGAGTGTTTAATTTCTTTTCTTTTCTTTTTTTTTTTTTTGAGCTGGAGTCTCACTCGGTTGCCCAGACTGGAGTGCAGTTGCCGCTTCCGGCCACCGCAGCCTCGACCTGCTGGGCTCCAGCGATCCTTCCTCCTCAGTCTTCTGAGTAGCCAGAATTACAGGCATGTGCTACCACGCCCAGCTGATTTTTTGATTTACTGTAGAGATGAGGTCTCACTGCCCAGGCGGGTCTCGAACCCACGGGCTCAGGCAATCCACTCACCTCAGCCTCCCAAAGGCGTGGGATTACAGGCTGAGCCACCGAGCCCAGCAATTTCTATAACCAGGTTATTGGGAGACAGGTTGGCATCATTGCCAAAAAACTCGCTCAAAGCAACATACATTTATTCAAGTATTTATACCCAAAATTCATAGCCCTTCACCCACCCTGAGTTTGAAGCCTATATACAGTTTTAGCATGATTCAAGATTTATATTAACAATTTTTGATACATGACCACTGACATGACACAAAGTTTCCTGGTCCTGTTGACATTTTAGATAACATTTTGGAATTTATGATATGTTCTTCTAGTTTTTTAGAGAATGGGGCAGACAACTGTAATATTTGGAAGGAAGGGAACGTTGTAACATTTAAGATGATAACTTTAAATTGTTTTAAAACATAATTATAATGATTTTTTATTCCCAGAGCCCTGACCTATAACAGCCCAATAGCCTTGTATTCACAGATGGAGGGGAGTTGGGCAATGCCCACTCCAAGCTTTCAGACACACTCCTGTTGGCCTTGGTCCACTCTCCTAATCATTAGGTTATCTGGTTTGCCGGCTATTTCTTCTTCAGCACCAGTAATGGCTACTAGATAAGACTGCCCAGTCAAGCAAGGCCGTGCTAGGAGAGGAGGCGTGGGGGTGAATAGGAAAAATGTCCACTTTTGAATCCAAGCGGCTTTTACATTTAGGCCAACTCAGCTACAAAAGAATACGAATTTTATTATGTCTTTTCTAAATGACTGTTCTAATATAACCAAAATGGCCTCTCTTCAGCCTGTAACAGAATAATGTTCCACAGTTCCATCCAGACTGCTGCAGGAGACATTCTTTCATTCTTCTTTTATGGCTGAATAGTATTCCATAGGGTATGCCACATTTTCTCTTTTTTTCTTTTTTGAGTCAGAGTCTCACTGTCACCCAAGCTGGAGTGCAGTGACACAGTCACAGCTACCACAGGCTTGACCTGCTGGGCTTAGGCAATCCTTTCACCTCAAGACACCAGAGCTGGGACTATGGCTACATGCCACCAAATCCGACTAATTGTTTGATTTTTTTGTAGAGACAAGGTCATGCTGTTGTCCAGGCTGGTGTTGAACTCCTGGGCTCAAGCAATCCTCTTGCCTCAGCCTCCTGAAGTGCTGGGATTACAAGCATGAGCCACCATGCCCAGCTATATGCCACATTTTCATTATCCACTGATCTGTTGATGGGCATTTAGGTTAATTTTACATCTTTGCAGTTGTGAATTGTGTTGCAATAAACATAAGATTGCAGGTGTCTTTTTTGTGGATGGTCCTTTGTTGTTTTTTTTTTGTTGTTGTTGTTGCTTTTTTGAGTTGGAGTCTCACTCCACTGCCCAGGCTGGAGTGCAGTGGCATGCTCAAGGCCACTCCAGCATTGACCTGCTGGGCTCTGGTGATCCTTCCGCCTCAGCCTTCCAAGTAGCCGAAACTACAGGTGCGCGCTACCACGCACGACGAATTTTTTTTTTTTTTAATTGTGGAGACGAGGACTTGCCAAGTTGCCCAGGCTAGTCTCGAACCCATGGGCTCAGGCAATCCACTTACTTCGGCCTCTCAAAGTGCTGGGATTACAGGCTGAGCCACTGGGCCCAGCCGTAGCTGATCCTTTGGGTAGATCCCTAGTAGTGAGATTGTTGGATCAAATGGTAAATCTACTTTTAGTTCTTTGAGACATCTCTTTTCCAATTTCCATAGAGATTGTACTAATTTGCACTTTAGCCAATGGTGTATAAGCGTTATCATTTTACCGCATCCACGTCAGCATCTATTATTCATATATTTGTTGGCCATTTGCATATCTTTTTTTGAGAGAGGTATGTTCATGCCATTTGCCCACTTTTTTTTTTTGAGTTGAAGTCTCACTCAGTCACCCAGACTAGAGTGCAATGGCCACTCCTGGCCACCGCAGCCTCGCCTGCTGGGCTCCGGCGATCCTTCCTCCTCAGCCTTCCGAGTAGCTGGAATTACAGGCATGCGCTACCACGCCTGGCTGATTTTTTGATTTATTGTAGAGATGAGGTCTCACTGCCCAGGCGGGTCTCAAACCTGCGGGCTCAGGCAATCCACTCACCTCAGCCTCCCAAAGGCGCGGGATTACAGGCTGAGCCGCCGAGCCCAGCTCATTTGCCCACTTTTTAAGGGATTACTTGCTTTTTAAAAAAAATTTTATTTTAAAGATGTAGGGGACAATTCAGTATTTGCTTTTTTCGTACTGATTTGTTTTATAGATTCTGGATATTAGTCCTTTGTCAGATGTATAGTTTCCAAATATCTTCTCCCATTCTGTTGGTTGCTTATTTACTGTTGATTATTTCTTTTGCTGCACAGGAGTTTTTAGTTTAATTAAATTAGGCTGGTGTGGCATGTT